CTTGGAAAAAGTAAACCAGTTAAAATTCACCTTGGAATTTTTTGGACCCTATAATGATGGAATTAGGAAGGTGTCATAAGGAAGAGGTATGGTTTTCCTCTATGTGGTTAGCTTTCCATTGTTTTGGAATCACCCAAATCGGGAAGTTGTAAATTTGAGAAAGATATTGACCAAAATAAGTTATTTAAGAACTGCGCAAGCCTGGGAAAACACGCACGCGCGCTCGCGAACATTTCAGTTTGCTGCGCCTCGCGAATTTGGCCTGTGAACTCTCTGACTCTCAGTTTTGCCACTTCTCGCGGGCTCGCGAATTCCATGCGCCCGCCTCGCGGACTTTGGCCTGTGTTAAACTCTTTTGCCCTCTTGCTGTGCTTCTCGCCGGCTCGCGACTTTGCATGGCGCGCGCTCGCGAATTGTGTCTGCGATCCACGTGTCATTTTCTATTGCAAAATTGTAATTTTCCCCTTTGCTTCCAAACACTTGTATTGCCCTCCAATTCATTTTAAAACAAAAAAGAAAACATGGAGAACATGGTATCAAACCACACATGCCAAGCCATGGCAAAAATGGATGTGAAAATGAAAGGGTAACACTATGTGCCTATAGAAGTGTTATGAATTTTTATGCAATTGCCATTCCTTGTTTTGCCTCCACGTTGTATGCCTTCAATCATTTTTAAAACAACAAAAAGATCAATATGAACACATGTAATGTCTTCAATCATTTTAAAGCAAAAAGACAACATGAACACATGTATAAACACAAAATGCAAGCATGCAAATGGTGTGAAACTAACATGACACAAGTTGTCCGCTTGGCGAGGCTATCAGCATACAGGTAAGCAGTAAATTTTATGAAATGATGAAGCAGTTAATTTTATGACAAAAGCAAGTGAAAATAACATGACACAAGCATGCAAATTATGACACAGTTACTATGCATTTGTTTTATCCATTGACATACCAACATTATGCTCCATTGAGGTTAGGTAGAAACCATGTAGATAAGGCTATGTCGCGACATAGAATAGCAGATCTGCACCCCATACAGTTACAGTTTGGTACTCCGGCTACAGGCCGTTGGATGCGTGGATATGTTATATAATGCCATAGCAGCCCTAGCATACAAGTATTATACAGTTCATATAGTTTTTCTCCATATCACTTTGGTTTCACTATAACCTTCAGTGGAGCCTTATACAGTTATATTGACTTACAAAGTTTCATAATCATACGAAGTATAATGAGCAACAGCAATATGTTTAATGAAAGCTATCATGATATGTGCTGCTTTACATTTCCATATGTTGCATACCAATGTTTATTCTACATTATGTATGTGCCTTTATATGTTTCTTTATTAACGTTGCGATATTCAACTGAGTTTTAAATAAAAGTCTGCCAGAATTCATACCAGCATGAAAGAACACCAGGTAAGATCCAGAAGTATAATGCAATATGCCTTACAAGTTTATTTATTGTAAGATCATGAAAGTATAATGCTATATATGCTTACAAGTTTATTTATTTAATTTTTAAGGAGCCATACAGTTATGAGATGTTATTAATCATAACTTAATCAGTTTTTCTTTTCTGGATTTAATCTTATTTATTCATTTAGTTTTCAATATTAAATATCTTTTCAATGTTTTAATTTGTCTAAACCATATCTTGAACTATCTGCATTGAGGCATTCACATGCAAGTATCATATGAGTTTGAAAGCACAAAAGCTTTATTTTTTTTCCTTTGGGTGAATGGTTAGTTCTAATAATAGCTAGTAAAAACAAAATTCAAATTACTCACTTCTTACATATAGATACATTGGATATTGAAATATCAGTGATTTATCTGTCTCATGATTTGAGAGTATGGACTTTTCTTTATTCATGTCAGTTCATGATTTTTTTTTCTTAAAAATAATATTTTTTTTGAGAATCTAATCTTTGTAGAACATATAGTATTAAATTATTAAAATATGAGCAATTAATTGTGGCAAATCACTAACTAAAACATGATTTTGGGTAAAAATTTGAGATTCCGTTGCTCTGCAATTTTATGAAGTTGCTAAAACTCTTCTCCTCTGATAAATGTTATTTTTATAATATTTTTAATATAGTTTTTATTAGGATTTTAGTGTTTTTAATTACTTTAATTAGAATTTTTCAAACTTAAACCATTACTTATCCTCAAATAACAAAAGTAAAAACAAAAGAAAAATACAAGCTAAACAAACTAAAAAAGTTAGCTTTATTTTGTTGGGGATAATTATTCACAATCTCAAAAATATAAAAAATTTCTTAACACGAGAATAAACTAAGTGTTTCCTAAACTAATTATTTTCTTGCAAAAATTTAACTACCAGCAAAACACATTCTTTAATTTAAACATGAGTTAATAAGATCTTCAATAGCAATATTTGTTCAAGTTATGACAAATAGAATATGAATTCTCATGAAGATTATTAACCTTTAAATAAAATGTTTAACAATATAAATTTAACATTCTCATAGGCAAAATTAGTCATCCCTTCTCCACAATTGAAATTGTTGGCTCAAGGATCAATTTTATCTTTAGATTTTGATGATTATGCGAAATAAATAAAATCTTTTAGATTTTTGTAATAGGCAAAATTAGTCATCCCTTCTCCACAATTGAAATTGTTGGCTCAAGGATCAATTTTATCTTTAGATTTTGATGATTATGCGAAATAAATAAATTTAATATTTTTATATGTGCTAATATTAACTTATGCAGAATTTGTTTTATATGGAAATTGCTAAAGAAGACAAGTTCCTACAAATCCAAGATTCTTTGAACACTATGAAGATTATTGAAGATTTTTTTTAGTGGTTAGTATCTTTGGATATTTTGTAGGATAGAGAAAATATTCTTTTATAAGCACAAAAATATTTTTTTTTTCTTCTCTCTCTATCTTAGGATATTCTTTTAGTGGCATTTTAGAAAATGATGATGTTGTAGATTTCAATCAAGCAGAATGAACAGTCAGAACAATTAGAACAGCCAAAAAGTGAGCAGAATGTTGATAATCAAGCTGGACCAAAATATGAACATGAAGATCAAAATGCAACTGAAAGTCAAATGCTAGAAACAGAAAATGAGAATTTTGAATTACCAAAGAGTGGCGATTCTAAAAGTATCATCCTCAAGAAGGATATCACAGACAACCCTTCAGAAAGGATGATGACTAGAGCTCAACTTAAGAGATTTTTGATAATGTTGCTTTCGTTTCTCAATTAGAACCTAAGAATTTAGAAGATGCTCAAAATCAGTTTGAGATAAACCAAGTTTGGAAACTTGTTTCTAGACCTAAAAACCATTCTGTTGTTGGAACAAAATAGGTGTTTAGAAATAAGCTTGATGAACAAGGTAATACAACGGTAATGTTGTGAGAAGACAAAAAAAAAAACTTGTTTCTAGACCTAAAAACCATTCTGTTGTTGGAACAAAATAGGTGTTTAGAAATAAGCTTGATGAACAAGGTAATGTTGTGAGAAAAAAAAAAAAAGCAAGGTTAGTGGCTCAAGGTTACAACCAAGAAGAGGGAATCAATTTTGATGAGACCTTTGCTCCGATTGCTAGAATTGAGGCTATTAGAATGCTTTTGTGCATTTGCATGTTTTAAAAACTTTATGTTATATCAAATTGATGTGAAAAGTGTAAGAAGTGTATGTAGAATAACCACCTGGTTTTGAAGTTTTATGATAAATCAAACCATGTTTACAAATTTACTAAAGCACTTTATGGTTTAAAACAAACACCCAGAGTTTGATATGAAAGATTATGTAAGTTTTTGTTAGAAAATGATTTTTCTAGATTGATGATATCAGTAGCCTGATTGAGGAGTATAATCATTTTCTTCTGGGATATCCATGGCTTGCTCTCTAGAGTAGTCTTTAGCTCTTCCCAAGCATCCTTTCTTGGCCAAAAATAATATGGACTCAAGGGAACAGTTCCCTGTCCAGGAATTAACTGATCCAGAGCCAGACCAATGTTCTTCTCCATCCATATGAATTTTAACACCAACCTTGGCTTCTCCACTTGCTTCACCAGCACCTCATTTTTCTGCAAAAATTCAAGAAACATAGACCTCATTTCTTGCAAAAGTCAAGAAACACCCATTTCTAAGCCAAAGTCAAGGAACATCCTAATTTTTATGAGCAAAAAAAAATCAAAAAACACAAATCTCAATTCTGCAGAAATCAAGAAACGCTCATTTCTATGTGAAAATCAAGAAACATTCATTCCTCTGCAAAAATAAAAAAACACCTCATGTATCTGCAAAAATCAAGAACTATACTAAATAGAACAATTTATATCTATATATAAACACATGAACAGCAGTTAAAGAAAGAGAGATTTTAGACCTCAGTTACTTGGTTGAGGATTGGTTCTTCATCTGTTTCAGTTTCTTCAGCTTCAGTGGGAATTTCAGCTGCAAGCGTTTCAGGGGCTGCAGAAGTAACTAATCTTGGATTTCTTGAAATGGCTTTGATTTCTGGGTGAAGACTGGCTGGTGAGAGTAATAGATTGGATTTAGGATTAATTAAAAAGCTGGTTTTAATTGTCTTGCAACTGGGGTTTTGGCAAGTAAATGGTGAGTGTGTTAAAACACTACTGAGACCAGATTGAATTGTCACAGATAACATCTTTTTTGAGATTTAGAGAGAAAAAAAACTTATAAGGATAAAAAGTGAGTTATAAAGTTCTAAACAAGACCATTAGACCATGGTGATCTCTCTGTCTCCCTCTTTTCACTTCACTGATGAGAATGACCAGGTTTTGGATAAGGAATTTGGGGTTTTGGTGAAGAAGTTTTACAGGCATTTAGATTTGAGAATGGCGTTCGTTTTGGGCTAGGCCTAGATTAAAACTCAAATTTTATGACACTGTGGGTAATCCAAGCCCATATCTTTCTTTTTTCTTTTCTTTAAAAAAAAAAAAAAAAAAAGACAGTAGTAATAATGATAGTTCACTGTGGTTATGGTGTATGGGTAATTAGGTGGCAACTGAACTTCTCATCGAAGGAAGAGTCGCAATTCTTATATATACACTTCTCTCATGTTAATTGTTCAACTTGATAAGTGAAACCACAACATCTCTCATAGAGGGTCTAGCATCAGCTATCGGTTCAGTGCATTCAAGTCCCAGTTCTAGCAGTTTCAAAGCTTTTCGTTGCTCATCTCTTTCCCAGGAACTGATTTCCTGATCCAGAAAGCAAATGTACTTATCATTCTCTTCCAGCTTCTTCCTTGTCCAGGACACAATATCCTCACCTTCTTCAAAGTTGGGGTCTACGGGCAATTTTCTACAGAGAAGCTCAAGCAAAATTACTCCGTAGCTGTACACATCAACTTTCTCTGTCAATCGAATGGCATATGCATTTTCTGAAATGGGAATAAGAAAGTACTTCAGAAGTCGATAAATTTATCATGAAGTAAAAGAATAATAGTATAGTATGATAAATGCAGCACACCTGGTGCCATGTAACCCAATGTTCCGACGATTAAAGACCTTGTTGAGCTAGAATCAGAACCAAGGAGCAATTTTGCCATCCCAAAATCTCCAATCTTTGGCTCCATTTCAGAATCTATCAAAATGTTATCTGATTTGACATCTCTATGAATGATTTGGGGCACGCAGTCATGGTGAAGATAAGCAAGGGCTTGAGCAATTCCAAAAGCAATGCGATATCTAGTGTCCCAATCCAAAACTGACCGTGGTTCTTGTCGGTGCAACACATCAAAAAGTGTCCCACCAGGCATGTACTCGGTCACAATGAGTCCATATCCATCTTTGATACAGTAACCTGCCATTCTAACTACATTCCGGTGCCTAACTAAGCTCAAGGTTCTCATTTCAAGGCAGAAGTTCATTTCAGATAAATTCACCTTTTTGACAGCCCAATTCTTTCTAGAGTTTATAGATTCTGTTCGGTAAACTGTCCCATGCTTGCCTCTCCCAATTACATACTTATCACTCCAGCCTTCAGTAGCGCGCATTATATCTTCAAACTTCAAATCTTCTGGTAAATCTTCAGTTATCGATTGGCATTCACGAAGAAGTGATTGATCACGGTAATATTTCTGTTGAAAGCCTTGAACAACTAGAATGTATATCACAGCACAAAGCAATGACACAGAAACAACAACCCCAACAACTACACCAGCCAATATATGTCTTCGTGTATGGCCTTCTCTAACTTCGCAGTATCTTGCATCATTACCTAGCAGACAAAGTTCTGGATTTCCAACAAAAGACCCCGGATATGAGACCATTATTCTCATCCATGAAGATGGGAGTTTGCCGGAGAGTTGATTGAATGAAATGTTTACAAAGTAAAGGGAGATCATATTATTCAGTTCTGTTGGTATCTCACCAGATAAATTATTACTTGAAATATCAAGAATCTGTAACTTGTCTAGATTGCTTAGGCATCCTGGGATTTTACCAGAGAGCTTGTTATAGCTCAAATTGAGAACTGAACTAAAATGGTTAAGCTTACTCAAACTACAAGGAATAGGACCTTCAAGCATATTGTTAGAAAGCTGCAACTCGAAAAGACTTTGAAGGGAAGAGAAAAAGTCAGGAATTGCTCCAGTAAGGTTATTCTCTGTAAGGAGAAGGCTTTGCAACTTTATCAATGAAGTGATCTCCGGAGGAATTTTCCCTAAGAGATTATTCTTACTTAGATCAAGCTTAATTAACTTTCTGCAATTTCCTAAGTCAGGCGGAATTCTCCCTGTTAATTTATTAGAAGAAACTCTTAAGATTTGAAGATTTGCAAGCTTTCCAAGCTCAGGAGGTATAAAACCAGATAGCCTATTTTCTGAAAAATCAATCATTGATAGGTTACTCCAGAAACCAAGTACTAATGGTATTTCCCCTTCAAGCAAATTTCTGTTGACTTCTAGAAATGAAACACCATAGTTCCTTTCCAAATCAGCTGGTATACTTCCTTCAAGAAGATTATTACTAAGAATAACCCTCCTGAGGGATAAACATTTTCCAATCCAAGTTGGAAAACTCCCATTGAATCTATTGTCTCCAATGGCCAAAACTGAAAGATTATTGCCATTACATATAGTAGAAGGAATTGGTCCATAAAGTTGGTTCCCTGTTAGATCCAGTTTTTCAAAACTGGGACAATCTTTCCCAAGATCAGAAGGTACCTCTCCAGCAAGGTTATTATGAGCTAATGATAGAAAGTTGAGTTTCTTCAAATGGGTAATTGCAGAAGGGATTCTACCAGTCAAATTGTTATTATACAAGGCTAATTGGACAAGGTTAGTCATTTTCCCTATCTGCCAAGGAATATGGCCTCCAACACGATTATTGAACATAAAAAGAACCTCAAGATTTTCAAGGTTACAAATTTCAGGAGGAATGCTCCCACCAATTAAGTTATTCTGAATCCTAATTTCAGTAAGTGAACTGCAATTTCCAAGCTCAGGAGGCAGAGAACCATCAAGCTTGTTATCAAAGAGAATTAGACTGTTAAGATACTCGAGTCTTCCAATTGATTTAGGAATTGAACCAACTAGATTATTACCAGAAAGAGCAATAACCATTAGGTTATTGCACTGAGCTATCCTCTCAGATATGGTACCATTGAGCTTGTTTCCTGAAAGAACAAGCTCTTGTAAATTTTCAAGAGCCCACATAGTTTCAGGAATTTCCCCTTCAAGTTTGTTTCGATCAAGATAAAGAATCTGAAGTTGCAAAAGGCCATTGAAAATCTCTGGTCCAATTATCCCTTCAAAATTGTTTTGAGATGCTATAAATGTAGTAAGGTTTTGGCAATTACTAATAGAACTAGGCAAAGATCCAAAAAAGGCATTCTCATGAATCCAAAAATCTGAAATTGCGCAATAAGGTGATAAATCTGGTAATGACCCAGTTAAGTTATTTGTGTTCAGATACAGAAACTTGAGATTTGGTAAAGTAAATACCTCATTTGGAACCTCACCACTCAAATAATTGTTATAAAACCCTAAATATTCAAGATTGGTACAAAAGCTTACCTCAGGAGGAATATTACCAGAGAGGAAATTATAACCCAGGTCCAACTTTAAAAGCTGCTTTGATTGAAAAAGCTGAGGAGGCATTGCACCTTCAAACCCATTGTCATTTAGAAGAATAGTATTAAGTTGGCCACAATTTCCAAGTTGCTTAGGAACAAAACCAGTGAAATTGTTGCCACTGAGGTCAAGAGAGACCAAATGCTTATGGAGGCAGAGATGGGAAATGGAATTGTTCAAGATTCCAGATAAACCAAACCCTGAAAGATTCAAGGCCTTGACTTGAAAGCTTTTGGTGGAATAGCATGAAACTCCCGGCCACTGACAAGGAGAAGAAGAAGAAGTTGAATGATTCCATGGCAAGAGGTGTTGAGAATGTAGAGGAAGACTGTCACGGAACTGCAGAAGATAAATTGCAGATTTAGGAGGCAAGGAGAGACAGGAGACTAATAAAAGGGAAAAAGAGATGAGAACACAATATGGACATAGCAATGACATGGTAATGGTCATTGATGGATATAAATTAGCATGTTGGTTCTTCAAATTCCATCTGGGGGTTGATTCTTGAATCCTCTAAAATGGAGGTTTGCGTGGGTGTTCTTGCTGTGCTGCAGTTTGTAGCTTTTCAGTGGATTTTGATGTTTTTTTTTTTTTACTGCTTTTTAGATTAGACAGAATGCCTTTTGGAAATAGCAATGTCAGGAGATATCTGCATGAATATCTTTTAATTGGATATTAAATGCAAAATTAACTTTTAAAAATTAAGGATAAATGATATTGAAACACTAAAATTTGATTTTATTTCATAATTTGATCACAAAAAATTAATTACTGAATTTTTGTTTTCCAAATTAGTAAATTTGATAGAAAACTTTAGTAACCAATATTGATGTTTTGTCATCAAATTATATATAATCTCAAAGTTTACTAATCAAGTTATTTATTAAATTGGCCAATATTTATTAGCATCAAAGCCAAGATGTCATGCAATAAACTAGAAAGAATTCATATTTAAAAAAAATTAAAGATTTAGTATATATATAAATTTATCAGCATCAGCTTTTGTTGAATTTAGTATATATAAATTTTAGTGAAACAATTTATATTTTAAAAAAATTAAAAATTAAAGATTAAAAGAAGTAAAAACAAAAGTAAAAAAATTAATATTTTATTATTCTTCATAAAAAAATAGATAAATTATCATAAACTTAAAATTTATATCCTAAATTAATTCAAAAGTTAATTTTATAAAATAAATTACGCTAAAATTAAGGTGTCAAAATTAAGAATTTATCATGTTAAATTTCACATTTTGTGCTAGTTTCGGTCATTTTTTCTGCAACTTTTTAGATTTGAATAATTGAAGAAGGTGACACTTGGATTCTAAGAAAAGATACTTAATGGGTCCGGTTTGGAGTGATAAGGATTGCCAGAAGTTGTAAGAGAAATTTTTTAAAAAAAATTATAAATTTAGTGTTAGAAAAAATTTTATATTTTATTGTTTGAACAGAAAATATTTACCATCAAACATACCAAAATTATAAATAGGACATTTAGGGTCGCAACTTTAGCTATTTGCTAACTAAACTATGATACAGTGAAAATACGAAAGGATCATAAAATTACAAGCTGACCCTCTTTAGCCGTCTGATTAAATACTTAATCTAGATATACCATATAATGAGGTAAATCTTTAATTGTCCATTGAATTATTATTAAGCAGTCTTGGTCAAATTAATACATTTTTAAGAACATGAAATAATTAAGGCTGAATTACAATTTATGAAACATAAATAATTTAATTTTTTTTCTAAGTGCTGATCTAGAAATTAAAACAGGTTCTACCTTGAATTACTTATCCTATTTAGCATATTCAAAAAGCACGCATTTATGCTAGATTAGAGAGGTGCTTAACTAATGCAAAAACTTAACAAGAGATGCATAAATGGTTCTCCGCAAAGTTCAGGAACAATTTATATATTTGGCATCAAATTAAGTAAAGAAAATTACATATATAATCTCAATTATATTACATTATTCAAAATAAATCTAACTAAATAATATAATTAATTATGTAATATAATCTTTATTTCATTATATAATTAATTACATCGTACCAAACCTATGGACTTTTTTTTTTTTTTGGATCAAGTCGGCTCTCTCGCAATTGATACTAGCTCCTCCCTACTCAGAAGTTGGCATTAAATGCGTGCTAAAACACAGCCCACCAACCAAAGGAAACAAAAATTTTGCCTCTTACTTTTCAAAAAGGCCGTTGTTGCTAGAGGGTACCGTATGATATAACAATATTTTATCTATTATATGTAATAATGACGGGCCAAAAAATTTTACCCAATATAATTAAGGGTGTTTCAAATTTTGGGAGAAATCTATCGTCTCACTGATATTATAAACTTTTATAATATTATATACTTCTCAATAACAGTAATAATAGTTTTTTTTTTTTACATTTTTGACATTTGATATATGATTAATATAATATTTAAAATAGTGATTTTTACAATTTTTAACTATTCAATAAACATTTAATCGATCTAATTTTATAAATTCGTTTGTTCAATAAAATAATTTTTATAAATTAAAGTGTCTAATATATTAAAAAAATATATATTATAAAATTATTCATACTAAAATATATAAGTGAATACATGCATTGGAACAATAGTTATGAGTGAATACATGCGTTGAGACAGTAGTCATGGAACCACAGTGATTAATTACATATGATAGACCTGGCGTATATAATACATTCATATATCAAACAAAATTCAACAAAATTATTTGTAGAAACGATAGTGATGCATAATTTGCATTGAAATTGAGTTTTTGGATCAATTTTAATACAAAATTTCAAAATTGGCTGAATTCTTTAATTGGAAGATGTGTGTTGACTAGATTATTAAATTAGTCACTTTGTCTAAACCTAGAGAAAAGGGACCACTCATTTTCTTATTACTTATCTTTCACATGCATTCACCAATTATAAAATATATCAAACTAATTTCATCCAAGAACAGTTTCTGTTCAAAATTTAAAATTAATTAAAAAAGTCCAATTTCTGGTAATACATGGCAAACAAATTGATGGGCAAATTAAATAATTATTAAATAATAATAATAATAGAGTGTCCAAATTGTGCTTGTTGTTTTCCAAAATAAAGTATGAAAATCAAAGATGATGGGTTAGTACAGTGTACATAGCTTTACATGCAGAAGAAAACGATAGATGCCGCTATAATAATAATAATTTATACTGTATATAAAATTAAAAATCAAGAGAAATAATGAGATTTTCTATATTATTTTCAATAAAATTTAAGATACTTTAAAATAAATTTAGTCATAGTCAATTAAAAAATTTTAAGATAAAAATATATATAATATCTCTATAATTTGATTGAATATTTTTTTAATTTTTTTTAAATAGATAAATACATATAGATAATTAAGTATTTGAAAACTTAAAATTTTGCTATTATGAACAGTTTCTAAGAAAACTATTTTGAAAAAGCTGGGATTACTTTCATTTTTCATATTTTGGATACGATATTAGCGTTATTGTCCTTTCGTTTTTTATTTTTTTGGTCGATTGTTACCTCACCTGATCAAAATACAAGAAGGACATAGTGTTCTCACAAGAACGCATTTTTAATGTATGGTTACTCCTTAAATAAACCCTAAAAACTCTTAATATATTATTTCTTCTTCCAATTTTATAAGTGGTCAGAATCTACGTAAGCAGTAGATAAAAAGTCAGAGGACGCGATCACAAAATTCTTAACATATGTATTAAGACTCGAAGGGATTTGCTTTTTTATAAAAATCTAGGCAATAGCCTGACATCATCCCTCCTCCTATTTTAAGCCCAAGTGCTCTAGGTAGATATAAGAATGAACCGCATTAACTTGGAATAGAATATTACCAAACTCCATTAAGGATGTGACTCGGTGTTTTACCTAATTATTTCTTATAATAACTCGAATTTCGGGTCAGACACAACTCCTGTTAATGATTAATTTGGAAAATGTAGTGAGTTCTCCATACTATAGTATCTAATTGGGGAACAGAATTGGCATTTATTAATGTCATACAGGACACTAGTATTTTCTTGTCGTACCAGACTATAACATCATGTTAATACTATTTTGAAGGATATGCTTTGTTATTTCAATATGAAAATAAGATTGTAGTATTCACACCTTTCTTCTAGGAAAAAATATTTTTCTAACAAAAACCTTACATAATCTTCATATCAAACTCTGGGGTGATATGTGTTGTTTGAAACCATAAAGGTGCTTTTAGCTAAATTTTTGTAAACATTGATTTAGAATTTATTCAATGATACATTTTTATATAAGAACTATACAAAACCACAAAGTTAAAATAGTGGATTTTAATTTTTCTAATTACACTTTTCTTCACACTTCTATCACACAGTCAATTGAAGCTGCTGATTCACTAGTAAAACATAAATTGTAAGAATAATTTCCCTAAAGAAAACATGGCCAAGGAAATTGCCTAACAATTAGAAAGCATATTCATAATCATGCCTTCATTCTAGTCAATATCCCGTAGTTTAAGCATTAATTGCAAAAAGGGTCTCACATCGCTGCGCACAAAATAGGAATTCCTCTTTTCTTGGTTGTTTTAAAACCTTGAGACACACTAACCTTGCTTTTTTTTTTTTTTCATCAGCACATTTACAGGACTTATTGGTGTGAGCAGGTGACTTTAACCAAGTAATGCCCTAAGAAATAATTCTAAACACTTAATAACATTTGTTAGGAAATGCACTAAGAATGTTTAATGGTTTCTCCCGACAGGTCTAGAAAACCAAAAGTTTCCAAAAGAACTGTGCCCTATCTCAAAACTGATTTTTGAGCATCTCTTAAAATGTCTTGAGGTATCAATAACCAAATTGATTGTATAATGAATTATGGAACGAAATCGAAAGACAAACATTATTACAAAAATATAAAGAGAGACTCTTAAATTAGAAAATTGAGAGTCTTCTTACTCTAATCTATTCATTGATATACACTCTCACTAGATCATGATAGGTGTATGCTCATTTTAGGATTATTCAACCTCATTGAAGGATGATACACTTTTAGAAATCTGAGCCAATCACTCTTGGTACATTTCAAAAACATAATCTCAATTATTTCTGTTGATCTATTCTATATGACTTTTAATCAGTGTTTGAGACATTTTGATCTTTCAATTTTCGAGTATATTTGGGTCCACTTGATTATCAAACATTCGTCTCTAATCGTACTTTTATTTGCTCTATTCTTAATTATGTTCAGACTTAGAGTTACATTACAATTCTGCCGTTGATTGAAAATCTCAACAAACATCATCATTTCTTAAAAAATGCCCCACTAAAAGGACTATGTGATCCTAGAACGTGATAGTTATGATTGAGGTAAGAAAAATTACCTTATAATAATTTGGAATTTTCTAAGTTCGGGGCTCTCATTACATACAGGACAATTTTATGATTACTAGCCCTTCCTCCTCACCTATCTCTCTACAATCAATAATGCGGCAGAAAAGATATTCGTGGCCAAATATCCACACTAAATAGAGACAGTAAACTAGTGCTCCCTTATCACAATAAAATCCTTTACCAAGTAGTGTTCCAAAGCCCAACATCTCCAATGCGCAAGAAGTTTGTAGGGGAAAAACCCAATTTGATCTTTTTCTTTGGAGCAATTTCCTCATCCATAAAACCTTACATTTTTCACCTCTCCATAGACATAAAAAGAATAATATTGGGCACCCAGATTATGTATTAGCTAAATAGGATTAAAATGTTAGTTTTATTCGCATGAATCAGTTCAAATTTACTCCAACCACGATAAAATTCTGCATCCTTGAGGTCCTAACAATTCATATGTGATGAGAGATTAAGGGTGAACAATGACTAATTTTGACCTATTTTATCTATTATATGTAATTATAGAATGAGAACTTGGGTTACCACAAATATAATTTTATACTTCCGTATAAATATACAATTAAGTTGTGATTTTACAAGGTTTAATGAGTATTTCTCATAAAAATTTTGCTTGGAGATCATATGTCAGTATACTTGTCATAAGACATTGAAGAAATATGCTATTTGAAAAGATCTTAATAGAACTCATACTATGCGCGCGGGTGTTCTCGTAAAACTTTGAGAAAGAAATTGTGTTTTTATAGACATTCTGTTTATCGGTAAATATGTAAATTTTTGTCAAAATAACTTCTCAATCATATAAAACTCTCACGAGTATTTTATGGAAAAGATAGCTATTTCTTTTTAGTTTTTTTTTACATTTTTTCGTCCATTTGGATATATGATTAATATTAATATGTTTAAAAATAGTAGATGATTAATTTTTATCAAATATTTTTTTAAAGAACCTATTCAATGAAATACATTGTGATATATAATATCCTCCCAAGACAAAATAAAGCTAGACTTTTTTAGCGTATTTTTGTATATAATAGGACTGTCGGTATTTGTTTCTTAATTATCAATAATTTGTTTAATACGTTTTTTTTGTTATATATTTGTAGTGATTAAAAGTGAGTCTTAAAATTGAGTTATAATATAAGTATTGAAAAAATTATCTAATTAATAATATAAGTGAAAATATTATTATTTACATACAATAAAACAACATTTAAATAATATAACTAATTGTGAAAAACAAATACATGTACCATTTAGGGTATAAAACAATATTAAGTTTATTGTAAAAAAATGTAGACATTTAATAATAACGATGCGATAGTGGAGAAGAGTAAGACAGTTTATGTCTTAGCTAACATCTTGCAGGGTAAAATATAGAGCACAGTGGATTAAAGGCTATCGACAGTATTGAAAATAGAACCTTTGCGTCTCTCGAAATTTATATTTATTCCCAAATAACATTCATTGCTATTTATATAGTTTAGTACTCTTGCCACCAACAAATTAATGACTCCAAATAAATATTTTAATTTATATCCATAAATACCAAATATATTAGTTTTTCTACAAAGATAGTTAAGGGATTCATACAACAAGAAAATAAATAATTATTTTTAAGAAAAAAATAAAAATGTGCATGCATATTAAGAATCTGATCTATGCAAATTAAAGAAGTGGAAAAAGTTTGAAACACTTAGATACTCTCGTAAATTCATGTAGAACAGATTTTTACTATGGAATACTAAAATTTATTCACATACCATAGATATTATATTTACCAAATATACATTCAGGATGTATCTATTACTGCTAAGAACTTGAGTGAATCCTTTAATTGGAAGATGGTGTGAGTTAGATGATACTAGTAGATATATTTTGTATGATTTTTTTTAACTAGCTGAGTCACTCATTTGTCTTAAGAAACTAACCACTCACCCAAAGGTGGAAAAAAGAGAAAAAAGAGATAAAGGCGTTTTGAGATGCTTTCCCAAACCTCATATCAGATACCTTGTGCCATGTAATGCCTCAATGCAAGATAGTTCAAGATATTGGGTTTTAGACAAATTAAAATTACATTTTTGACATAAGTATATTTTAAATATTGGATAACTTAAAATGATACTTAATCTATAAATTAAGTATCATTCAAATATCCAGAAAAGAAAAGCCTGAAATTTATCAAGATTCCATGAATTTTATAAATAAAAACATTTCTTATCATACTAACATGATCATTGGAACTTTTTCATTTCCAAAAATAAATAAATAAACTGATAAGCCAAAATGAATAAGCCATATAGTTTTTCTGTTTTTCCAAAATATATATAAATTACATTTGAATCATATTAAACCTAGAAGGATCGTGTTTCCTTTAATGCTGTTTTTCTGATTGAAAATATCTCCTGATGGATGCAACTTATTATTCTAAAAAAAACTCTTCAGGGTGAAATGAGTCGGGCAAATCTAAGAAATTAAAATTAGAATATAAACATAATTAATTTAATAAATTAATAGCACAGCATACAAAGTGTGATTTGCTTAGAGAAAATAATAGTGAGCCATTGGTTATGTGCTAATCATTCTCACTTTGAAGAGATAAATAGTAAGGGTTACTAGCAAAACAACATTTCAAAATCATGAGTAACTCGCATTTCATTGGTAACATACTGTGCTGAGACCAGGGTCTACCAATTAGTTCATTACACCATTGTGCAGGATAGATAAAACGATAATGGAATGCTCAGATGACAATTGTTAAATAATAATAGATTTCATATATTACAATTACTGACTGTATATTAAATTATTAACCTATCAATAAGAAATCGTTATAATGAGAGGAATATGAAAATCAGAAAGTTTGATATTTATAGGCAATAAATACATTAATATGATAATTAATCTGTCATCAAATAACTAAATTAGGTTTAAGTTATACTTTAAAAATTAAGGATTATACTTGGGGCCTATCTAGTCAATAAAAAATTTTAAATTGAGGGGCTAAAAATTTATTATTATAAATTACATTAAGATCCTAATCTCGTCCATATACAAGGTTTGACCTTGAATTAGATTTTTTTTTTAGACATCTTGGTGTTTAAATAAGCATAAATACAATATAGATAATTAAGTATTTTTTGAAAGACTTAAATTTTGCCTATTATTCATTTTATTATTTCTAATTATATTTTATTTCATTATATTATTATATAAATTATTAATAATAATTTTAATAATTTGAGTAAATTTATTATTATAGTATCATTATTTTTATTTTTTTACATATTATTATAGATTTATCTCAGACATTATTATTTTAAAATGAAGGTGTGTGTAAATGTGAGCAGTACCAATAACTTTTTTCGTAATGAAATGGTTGATTTCTGCATGACATCTCCCATATTTCCTGATTCTTATCTGTCGCAGACTAATAGCCTTAATCTAGTGGACTTGGTAATTTCTTATACTGAAATTCCTCAATAGAGCGATATAGCAATGATATTTAATTGGTGAGAGAGAGAGAATATTGTTTAATATGCTAAAAACAAAATGCATAGTACTGTGTCATATTTTGCACGCTTGTTACATGTATTTTTCACATAGCTAGGATGGTTTATGGTGTTATCATTGAAAAATTTATCTCTTTAATCTACTATCAAAATTTAGATTTCAGCTAAACATCACTCTTACAATTGTTCTACCTGTTATGGCTAGAATGTCGCGCCAACTTAATAGAATCCACAGATAAAGAACAAAAAAGAAATATATTGGCTAATCCTTTAAGTAGTACATTTCGGCCATAATTAGTTTAGATTTCACATTACTATATATGTCATGCTTGTCATATTTATTTGATATGATCTTTTATTTTAAATCTAAATACAATTGTGTCATCATTTTATATCCTTTTTTGTTCATTTTAGGATTTATTGTTTAAATAATTATTTGTAAGTTAATAAATATGTTTTGGTCAAATACAAAGTGATTTCAATGATTGTATGGCAAATAGCGACGTAAAAATTAGAGGCTCAAATAAAAATAAATGCAATAAAAATTCATATATCATTTTACTTATTTTATTAACAAATATTCTCAACTATTTTGAGATTTGTTTACTTTTATACTAACTCATTTAGTTTCTAATGTCAATTTTCTATCTGGTTTTGCAAAATATTGAGACTTTGCGTATTTAACTTAGAATAGTAGGTATTTGATTAGTCAGTTAATGTTTCTACAATTTTTGAGTTTATCTTATATACTTATAGGTTATATTTAACATAAATTTTGTTGATTATAATATAAAATTTATGTACTATACAGGTCTTATACCATCTAAATAAAAGTCGTATATTTTATTAATAAATTTTTTAAATGATTTCATGATTTTGATTCCGTAAAAAAAGTAAAAATAAAAATTATTATTATTTATAAATATTTAATTTGATTTACTAAATTAGTTTATCATTCTATTGTTAAAATATATTTATTTACTAAAAGAAATTGTAGTAAAAATTGATATATAACTAAAACATATTTTGTTATATATAAAAATTACTATATTTATTACCATCTAAATAAAATTTATATTTTAATTATATAAATGAAAAAAAATAAATAAATAACAAAAATGAGAATATAACAAATATAAATACAGCAAGTCATAAAAGAACTAATAATAATAACGATAATAAAGGAGCGAGACGAAAAGATAAGACTCGCTTTTACTAATTTGTCGATTACCAACTATGATGCGAATGTTGGAAGCATGGAGGCAAAGTAAAAATGCCCAACAATGGCGGCAACCCATTCCTATATCATAAAATCCCACATCAACCCCACACTGTCTCTTAATCCTACAGGAAGAAATAGAGAAGAAGAGTATCCGATAAGTCTATTGATAGATATGGGTCTCAATATGGCGGTCTGGTTTCTTTAAGAAAAGGCCCATAAGCATATATTTCTTCTTGCAGATTCAAGCAAACAGCAAGTTGGGGTAAGCTGTTTATTCTTTTTTTCTCTTATGGGAAAGACAGTTTCTCAATTTTAGAAAGCTATTTCATTATGACTATAGATGGATTTAGCGTTTTAGACAAGGCAGCCAAAGAGAGTTTCGATAGTGCTTTTGATGATTTGGGTGTGAAACTACAACTACAAAACCAACAGCATACTCAATCTTTTCCTTTTAGTAATATGATGTTTGTTGATCATAATGATAATAATCCCTACCGTCCATTCCCATCAAGTGGGTTTGGTGATATTGGTCCCACAAGGATCAAAAACAGGCGGTGCTTCATCTCCTCCAATGATAATATTGGAGGAGGACATAGTGATACTGATAGAGGTCATTGTGCAGTTATTAGTAGCAGTGTTGCAGGTGGGTTAAGGTCTCTGCAGCCTTTTGCTGCTTTCAAATCTGAATCCGCTGGTAGAAAATTTTTTCTTTTTCTTTAATTATTTCTTAAAAAATTAGTCCTTAGCGAGAGTGAGACAAAGAAAGTTGATTGACTGACATGGTGTTGCTGTAAAATTACAGGAGGAATGGCAGCATCTTTGGGATTTCCTTTTACAAATGCACAGTGGAAAGAGCTTGAAAGACAAGCTATGATATATAAGTACATGATGGCTTCTGTTCCTGTTCCTCCACATCTTCTCATCCCCACTTCAAGAAATTTTCCTTTAGACCCAACTGTTGCTTCCCACCATTTATGTAAATTAATTACTCTACTTTTTCTTCTTTTATTTTGTGTTTTTGTTAATTTTGGCCAAATGGGTATTGATTTCTTTTTTCCTTGTGGGTGTGCAGTGGGCAGTGGTCTGAATCTGAAGTTTACAAATGGGGCAGATCTAGAGCCAGGGCGGTGCAAGCGAACAGATGGGAAGAAATGGAGGTGTTCAAGAGATGTAGCGCCTGACCAAAAGTATTGTGAGCGTCATATGCACAGAGGTCGTCCCCGTTCAAGAAAGCCTGTGGAACTCCTTTCTAATACCAACACCACTAATAACAAGAAGATCCGTTATACTTCCGCAGAATCTGCTTCTAATAATAACAATGGTGTTGTTTCCGAGTTTGATGATACTCTTGCACAGCCATATCTTCAGGCCCCTGTTTTTCTTGATAACCCCAATTGCAAAGTTGCAAACTTTGATACTTCTGTGGCCTTTGCTTCATCTTTCAAGGAACCCAGGTTGGTTTAAGTTGATTATTAAGTACTTTATACTATTTTGCTGGTTGTACTTTGAAATTTATTGAATGGCAAGCCTTGATGGAACAGTAAGTTTAGCTCTTGCAAGGCAAGGAGTCTAGTGTGTTGAAGATATTCTGTTTATATTTGATGGTGGATTTTTTTTTTTAATTGTATTTTGAAGGAGTATGAATTGGGTAGTAAAAGGGCCAGGTGATCAACAATGGCAGAATACAGAAATTGGATTATCCAGTGACTCTGTTCTGAATCCAGATTACCAAGAACAAGCTTTGAATTTGAATCCCTTCGGAAATTTTAGTAGAGGAGAAGATCAACAAAGTAATAATCAGTCTACTTTGTTTTTCGATGACAAATTCTCTCATGGAGTATTAAATGACCCAAGTGCAAATTGCAGAAACAGAAATTCTTCTGTTTCCTCAAATGGGAAGCTTTTGAATGCGGCGCTAAGTTTATCAATAGATGGAAGCATCAGCTCCATGAATGAGGAGATGGGTCAGATCCAAATGGGTTTAGGCCTAATTGAATCAGATCAAATTGGTGAATGTTGTACAAAACCAATGGCTTTGGCTCCTGCTTCTTGGACAGAGGCTGCTACACCAGGAGGTCCTCTAGCAGAAGTGCTACAACTAAGTTCTGTAGCTAATCAATTATCTCCTGTGGCTGAGATTGAGAATGGTGATTATTGTAGTACTCCTCAAGCAACTGCAGTTTATTCACCATCTGGGGTTGTGCAGAAAGAGCTTCCTACTTCATTTTCTGATAGCAGTAACAATAGTGTATATCAACACTTGCAAGTTCTGTAGGGGCAAATCTAAGACTGCTTTGCTGTGGCTGAATCAAGGAAAATTGCAATTTTCTGGTTAAGGAGGATTATGTTTTGGCGCTTTTAGTTGTTTAATGGGTTATTATTATCAGTATTTTTTGTTTTGTGGTTTGTTAAATGTGATACTGGAAGTGGCAAGCAAAATATATTTGTTTTGATTTAGTTCCTTTTACAGGGTATCATAATCCAATGCATGATTGGTGATTTCTTTTCTTATTTTTTGAGACCCATTATTGTTGAATTTTGGTGTGGCTATGATTTTTTCATAATTACAGGAAATCAAATTAATTTTTAATTTTAGTTTGTCGGATTTATTGTAAAAGCATGTAAATATCAAGTTATCAATTAAAATAATTCTTCCTATCTCTTGGAGAAAATATAGAAAGTGAGAGGTCTTGACTTCAAATTTCACTATTTCAAAGGTTACAAAAAATTCCGTGAATGCTATTTAAAAGGCAGAGCTACTTTATGTTGTGTAGTCTACAATGTTATTTCGGTCCATTGGACCTCTCATGTATAAAAAAAAAAAAGCCTAAAATAACCCTTATAATGATGTCATCTAAAATAAAAGTCCTCAACTTTCTATCTAAATTTGAAATCATTCAAATTGTTCAATTAAGAGCAGTTTGAAATTGTCAGATTCAGAGAGCGTCTGATCTAACAGATTGGGGAATTAGGGATTTGGATCGAAGGGAGAAGAGAGAATGAGAGGGCTTAGAGAGAGTATAAGAAATAGGGGGAGAGAGAGAGAATATATAATTCATTGATTAATCCTAATTGGGTTGTTTACATCATATATATACCTAGCACACGCGGTACACACATCAGCACTAATTGCTACATAAGAATACAGTCATCGCTGAGATAGTTGTAACCCAAAACAATAATATACTTAATTAAATCCCTAATATGCAATCAAGTCCTATTTTATTACAATCAAGTTTCTACTACATATTATCTTAATAATTACCCCCTCCCCCCACCCAAATTGAGACCAATTGTGCTCAAGATTAAAGGTGGAAAATTGTTTGCTAATGAAAGATACATCCTCCCAAGTGGAGTCAGTAGGGGACAGATTCTTCCAAAGAATCAACACATGTGGCACTTGTAGATTATTTCTAAAAATGATTCTGGAAGAAAGGACCTGCTAAGGTTCAGTAGCTGGAACTCCAGCATCTGACAATTGTGGCAAAGTAGGTTGAGCTAACTATGGAGAAGAGACTGACTTCTTAGACTGAGAGACATGAATACTGGATGAATCAAGGAAGATGATGGCAAATACAATTTGTAAGCTACTTGCCCAAGTTTCTCAATAATCTGAAAGGGGCCATAAAACTTGGCAGATAACTTCAAGTTCTTCCTAAAGGCCACAAAGGACTGCCTATAAGGCTGAAGTTTGAGGAAAACCTAGTCACCAACAACAAAGGTTCTCTCAGTCCTCTTGGAATTTGCAAACTACTTCATATGGTTTGGGGCATTCAAAAGAGTTGTTCTCAATAGTTAAGACATGCGTTACCTGTCCAATAGAAAAATCTTCTACATTAGTAGAATGAGAAAAACCAGGACTGAGCTAGGGTAGTATGGGTGGGTCAAAACCATAAAGCACTGTGAAAGGTGACATCTTGAGAGAGGAATGATGTGTGGTGTTGTACCACCATCCTGCTAGGCTTACCTAAGAACACTAGGTTGAGCGCTTGGAGGAGCACGTACATCTGAGATAGGTCTTCAGGCACCTGTTGAGTCTTTCAGTCTGTCCATCTATCTGTGGGTGATAGGTAGAACTGAATGGAGCTTGGTGCCTAAAGAGTTAAAAGCTCCCTCCAAAATAAACTAGTGAACACTTTATCATCATCAGATATTATAGTTTGAGGCAAACCATGTAGCTTAAACACATTTATCAAGAAATAGATTAGTAACTTTAGAAGCAGTATAAGGATGAGCAAGAGGTATAAAATGAGCTTACTTACTGAACCTATACATAACCAAAATTGTGTTTTTATTAAGGGATTTTGGCAAGCCTTCAATAAAATCCACTGAAATGTGAAGCTAGGCTTAAGTCAGTATTGGAAGCGGCTATAACAATGCTGGCAAGTATCACACTGAGAAACCCATTTCTTAACATCATCAATAAGTCTAGGCCAGTAAAAATACTGCTTAGTTCTAGAATAGGTACCCCTGATGCCAGAGTGCCCACCCACAACAAAGTTATGAAAGGCCCCAAGAATTTGGAATCTGAGAGAAGTAGTACTGCCAACATATACTCTAGCTTTGTACAACAACATACCCCAGTAAATGCAAATAAGGGCTTCACAGTAGGAGAGACAGATAAAAGTTTCAACAAATCAGCAGCAAAGGTGTCATTCTTATAACTATTGATCAATTCTTGTAATCACATAGAAGTTATAGCACAAAGTGCTAGACTAACAGTAGTGTCATTTGACATAAGAGGACGTGAAGAAGGTGGCAATGCATATCTGGAGAGGGCATCAGCCACCTTATTCTAAACACCTTTTTTTATATTGAATGGTGTATGACAACGCAAGATAGGCAAGTAATGCCCTTTTGCTGAACATAATTATGCAGCCTCTGGTATAACAAGTGGGCAAGACTAGAATGATCAGTTTTGATTATAAAGGTGTCATGCTCCAAATAATGTCTCCATTGCTTTACAACCATATTCATTGCTAATAACTCATAAATAGATAGACCTAAGTGCTTAGCATTCAACGGTTTACTCAAATAAGCTAATGGCTTATTGTGTTGCATAAGCACAACTCCTAGGCCCAAATTGCTAGCATCAGTCTCAATGGTAAAAGGGATGGAGAAATCAGGTAAGGCTAATGTGGGAGGGGAAGAACGTGTGATTTTGAACTTTTGAGATGCAAAGTTTGAAATTGGTGACCAATGGAATGCATCTTTCCTAAGCAGGTCAATGAGGTCTTTATTAATTACACTATATCCTCTAATGAACTTTTTGTAATAACCTGTTAACCCTAGAAAGCCTCTAAGGGACTTTAGAGAGGTTGGGGTGGGCCAATTCATCATTGCCTCTATCTTTTTAGGATCTGTTGAGACTCCCTTATCACTAATAATATAACCTAAGTACTTTATGGATGTGGAACAGAAGGAACACTCAACTTGCCAAAAAAAATTTATGAGCTCTAAGTATTTGAAAAACATATTCTAAACGAGCAATGTGTGATTCTAAAGAGGGGCTATAAACAAGAATGTCATCAAAGAAAACTAGAATAAAATTTCTTAGGTAAGATGCAAATAGGTCATTCATCAAGGACTGGAATATGGCAAGTGCATTAGTCAAGCCAAATGGCATGACCTTAAATTAAAAGTGTCCATAGTGCGTCCTAAATGTTGTTTTTGGTATAACAGGGGGAAAGATTCCAATTTAATGATAACCAGATCTAAGATCAAATTTTGGAGAAATATTGGCATGGGTTAACTCATGCAATAAGTCATCTACGATAGGTATGGGATATTTATCCTTTACTGTGATTGTATTTAGCTGCCTATAATCAATGCAAAATCTCCAAGTGTGATCATTCTTTTTCACTAAAAGAACAAGTGATGCATAGGCGCTATGGGTGGGTTGTATGATAAAGGTGTGAAGCAAGTCATGCATGTTTGGAATTATGCGTAGGCGCCATGGGTGGGTCGTATGATAGAGGTGTGAAGCATGTCATGCATGTTTGGAATTATGCATAGGCACCATGGCTGAGTTGTATGGTAGTTCTAGCAATTATAGTTATCTTGATAATTAATGTTATCAAGAATAACTAGAATGTTTGGAATTACTATAATTTGTTAATGAGGAACTATTAGTTATAAGATATGATGTTTAATAGAAATCAATTTTGTTATGAAAATCAAATTGGAAGAATATTAAATGAGTTTAAGCCTTATTGATGAGAAGTTAGCAAGTGAAGCTCCTTAAGCTAACACCTTGATTTAGCATTTAGTAGATTAATGTTAAATCACCTAAGACATGTGATTAAGGTTTAATTGAGACTAAACTAAAGTAATAAAAGAACAGTTAGGTGCAATTATATGAAAAGAGAAACAAAGGAAGGATTGAGGTGCAAAAGGGCAACTGAAGGACATGGGAGGAATTACCATGAAAGGTTTTGATTGCCACCTATTTATGATGATTCATAGAGAACCTCTTGCTCATATTTTACTATCCATGGCCGAAACTCCATGAAAAGCGAAAGAGAAAACTCTTAAGGACAAGCTAAAAGTGCATTAAAACTTAGGAGTTTTCAAGTGATTCTTAACGAAAGGTTAGTTATCTTCTCTTCCTCTTTCTTTTCCATGGTATAATTTTTGATTTTCATGAACTATGACATGAGGTGCTTGCTTATTGTTGTTGACTTGGCGGAGATGATGTGATTATAAGTGCTTTTAAGGTGATTTAAGGCGATTAAGGATGGTTAAGCATGAGTTTGATGTCATTATTGCATAATTGACCAAATTGGGTAAGTTTAACCATTTGATTGATATTCTATGGATTAGGTATTCTAGTATATGAAAGGTAATTATGTTAATTAAGTGGTAGAAGAGTTTTTATGCATAAATTAGCGGTGGAAGTAAGTTAAGAATGCTTAAGGAGGTAAAGTATCGCTTAAGTCTATTGTAATGCCTTATTTTTCTATGTCTGAAATAGTAGTTTACTGATCTATGAATAGTACCATCGGTCTGTGAATAGTACTACTGGTCCGAAAATCGGAATTATTTTGGTTCGAAAAAATTACTATTTGTATTTTATATTTTATTTAATATTTTTGGAGCATGCATACATGATTTTTATGGGTAGAAAGTAAGTAATGAATTTATTTGGAGAATTTAGACATGATTTTTTATGGGTAGAAAGTAAGTAAATGAATTTATTTTGGAGAAATTATAGATAATTAGTGAATAGTGCAATTAATGGTGTTTTATTAAATTAAAGGAATTTGAGGAATTATTTTTATGGAGTAAATTTAAGAATTTTGTGGAGATAAATAATATTATTGAAGGAATTTAATTGGAGGAAATATTTTTAGCCATTAGATTAGAGTACCATGTGACTTAATCTTAAAGCCACTTCAAATATGGTTAAAGAACTAATAATAACCCTTTTTGTTGCTTTATATAAGTCAACATCCAATATTGAGCAGCCATTTTTCTTTCTTCCTTCTTCTTAATCACACTTAGGCGTTAAT